TAAGACACAGCAGACGTGTTAGAAATTATTCTCTTTCTTTTAAAACAAAATGCATTAGAAGCAGTGGCAGTTTTGTAAAAACTGTAGTAAAAAACTTATGGAGTGCTTTATCAAGCCTGAATTAAGTTTAATGCAATAAAAAGTTTTCAGGGTGATAATTCATCCAGTTATTAATATGTTTTCTCAAATGGGACTAGATTGAAACAGCAATTCTGTAGAAGTTTTCTTTTATTATGGATGAAAACCACCTATACCCTAGAAGAAATATTAAAGGTAACAAAGTTTCAAAACTTGTAAGATCTGCTTTATATGAAACACCCACCAGTTTAAGTGAAATTCTCATATAGCAATAAAAAAATCCCACCTCTAAATTAGCAATTATTTGGTTATGGGTGCCAAGAAACCATTTTATTGCTTAAATTACCCCTTATAATACCTTAAAAGTGCATTTGTGAAATGTTGGTTTTCATGTAAACCTCATAATTTAAATTTTGACATTTAAATTAAGTAGTTTACCATTTTCAATACCACCTAAGTATATATTGATCCAATCTAGGAAGTTAGATCAATGTTAAAATGAAGGTTCACAGTTTTATTTCACATTTATGTGTTTAGCCTTGATTTGAATGTTTCATGGGTGAATTCAGATCTAATCGTAGCTCTTGCAAGCCTGGAGTCAGGAGTTTTCCCAGCACTGAGACCATTCTGCTAATGTGGTGATGTGCTGAGGTTTCATAGCTTAAATCCTGTACCATGGGAAACTCATGGTCAGAGTGGCAGAGAAAGACTTCAGGAACAGTTTTTTTGCTACTGCAATCCTACTGCCTAAGCAAAAGGCACAGACCCGGTTTAGCAGAGATCTGCCTACGCACTGCAAGCTGCTAACGGTGACCTGAAGCCATCTAAGATGCAAGATCACATATTTATCGCAGGGATGGGGAGGGTGAGAGGCTCATGCACGCCAGAGAAGAGCGTGTGGGAGTTTGCGCTCTCCGTCCGTCGTGTGGGTCCTCGGGAATGAAGTCAGGTGGTTAGACTTGGGGGCAAGTACCTTACCTGCTGAACCATCTCCCCAGCAACATTTACTTGGGGGGGGGGAGTTATTTTCTTATTTTATTTTGCTGTTTTTGAGTCAGGGTTTCCTGTTATGTAGGTCTCTGGCTGTCCTGGAACTCACTGTATAGACCAGGCTGGCCTTGAACTCACAAAGGTCCACCTGCACCACAACGCCTGGCAACATTTAGTTTTGCTATGATTAAGAAATTTAGATGGCAAAATGGCTTCAGTCTTCACAACCCTCATGTAATGGGAGGAGAGCGTCAACTCCTAGTTGACCTCTGACCTCCACATGTTGACTGTGGCATACTTGTGCCCATATTCACATATATATCACACATGCCACGAACAGAGAGACAGGAGGAGAAAATTAAAGTTAGTTGGATGGTTTTGCAAATAACGAACTGTTTGCTTGCCATTTAAAATCCCTCTTTAAGCAAAAACGTTTGAAAATAAAACCATCATAAATATGCCTCTGATCTAGGGTATTGGCATTCTTGAAAATGAACAGCAATTGAAGAGAAATTTTAAAGTATTTTATTTATCATTATTTTTGAGACAAGGTCTCATGTAGCCCAAGTTGGCCTCAAGTTCTCTGTATTATCAAGGATGACCTTGAACTCCGGATTCTCTTGTCTGCAATTCTCAAGTGCTAGAATTACTGGTGTGCAGCACCACATCTAGCTTATGGAATACTAAGGATTGAACCGGGGCCTCATGCTTGATAAACAGGTACGCTGTGCACTGAGATACACCCCAGCCTGCAGGGTAGAAGCAGACATTGGGTATTTAATTAAAATTTTCTATTTGTAAAGAAGTGAGGTTCAGGCCATTGGAACCTCACCCTGCACAACCTTTTGTCAGGGTCCTGCCACATAATCAAGTTAGGACTACAGAAAATCAGATTTGGGGTATAAAGGGACAAGAGGACTCTAAGTGGCTTCGGCACAGTACTGAATGTGTACAAATTTACTCCACTCTGATCTCTTTGCTTAAGTTGTAGCCTGTATTAGAGTGACTGAGCAGAGAAAGATCCCTTCTTGGTTGGGACAAGAGTCTTTCTGTATCTGCAGCAGCCAACTCAGGTCCTTTCACGCCTGGTCGAGCTGTCTGCTGAAGGGCAGCAGAGAGAGCTGGTCGCGCTGTCTGTTGAAGGGCAGCAGAGAGAGCGTTTTCTGATTCAGCTTGTGCATGTTTGCTATCTTCCCCTCCTTTTGTCGTGATCTCCTAACCCAGATCACCGATGTTTCTCGTCCCAATTTTATCATTGAGAGGAGCCAACCACACTCAGAGACTCAGTGCTGTGGGTGGAATCAGCTTGCTCTTGTTCTCAGGTTTCTGCTTTCGGTGCCATCTGGGTTCCTTGTGCACAAGTCGCACCATTCTCCCCAGTGCGGTTCCACTGTGGGAGCAGGTGCTGAGAGAACACTGGGTAACCCCGTAGCAGAGGGTCTGGTCTGAAAGTCAGGCGTTCTCAGTGTAGGGCCTTTCATTGCCATGATCGTGTCTCGGAGCACGCAGAACTTTATCCAATGCTGTGGACATGTTGGGTGCTTTGCAAAAGTTTGTTGATTGTCTTGCTCTAGTTTCTTCTAGAACTTAGAGGTGATTCTTATTCCTCACTGACATAAAAGTATATTGAAAATCAATACAGTGTAATGAAACTTGGTGCTTAGAAGACAAGACCTGGACATATAATAAATGTGGGATTTGTAAAATAAGATTTCTCAGGTGCCTCTATATCGGGCCCTGTGAGAAAGGTGGTAGCTGGACTTTTATAGGAGAGGGAATTACTTATGTTTTCATCTACTCAGTGATGCCTTTTTTTTCTTTTAAAGAAAATATTTATGTTTTGACTGCATGCATGTCTGTGCACCATGTATGTGCCTGTTGCATGAGAAGGCATTGGATCTCCTGTATTGGAGTTAAAGATGGTTGGTGGAAATTGAACCTTATTTCTCTGTGAGAGCTGCTGGAGTTCTTAACTGCTGAGCCATATCTCTAGCCTAAGTGATGTCTTTTTGATTCCAGATACTAGTGAGCTTTGCTCACCAGTGCTGCCTCCCACATCTGAGACAGAGGATCTAACTATGTAGCCCAGACTGGCCTGGCATTCGGAAGTCCTCCTTTTCAGCCCCTTGATCCTAGCAGGAAAGACAGGCACTGTCATGCCCAGCTTCACTGGTGTTTTCTTCTTGAGTGCATTCCTCCCCCTCCTTCTCCTCTTCCTCCTCCTCCCCTCTCTCTGTTTGACCCATGGTCACTTTTATTTATGAATTTTAGATAAATTAGGTAGTTTTGTCCTCAGAACAAATATTTGTGAGGAGATCCTCACTTCTGCATCTGTCTTTTGTAGAAGCTACATAACCAGTAAATTCCAGGCCACTTCTCTTTATAGCCTGGTCTCTTTTCTCCATGCCCTAGGCTTGAAATTTAAGCTTAAAACGATAGAATATGACCTTAAGAAGATTGAAATCTCTACCACCTTGTTCTGAAATCAAGCAATCAAATATTTATTTATAATCTTAATTCATTTTCTAACAAGAAAGGTTTTACTTACTATGAAAGTTAAATTGAGCACCGTATCTACAAGCAAAGTGGAAGTACAAGCCATTTCCACCAAATGTACATCTCTAGAAGTTGAATGCCAGTAGCAAACTTCTCATTTTAGTCAGAGAATGTTTCACGTCAGGAAAATGGAACAAGATAGATACAAATCTAAGAATGCCAAAGGCTAGGACCCAACACAAATTTTGGACACTAAACTCCAATTAGTGTTACGTAGGAAATGGTTCCTTCAAGAGTTTGATGAGATGGGGGAAGCATTTTAAGGGCTCTGCACACTATCTTCAAATTCCGGGTTAAAGGGTTCTGTTAGTTATGGTTTCTTTTGCTGTGAAGAGACATCATGACCATGACAACTCTTATAAAGGAGAACATTCTCAGGAGAATCCCTAACTTCTAGCCTTAGAAAGGACATGCCTGTGTGGTTTGAAGAAAATGATCTTCTAGGAGGTGTGTCACTGTGGGGTGGACTTTGAGGTCTCCCATGCTCCAGCTACACCCAGTGTGGCACACAGTTGCTTCTGCTGCCTGTAGATCAAGATTTCGAACTCCCAGCTCCTTCTCCAGGATCATGTCTGCCTTCATGATGCGGTATCCTATCATGACGATAATGGACCAAATCTCTGAAACTGTAAGCAAGTCCCAGTTAAATGTTCTCCTTTATAAGAGTTGCCATGGTCATGATGGCAGGTCAAGGACCTTGAGGTGGAGATACGGGCTTGGGAAGGAGATAGGCCAGGGTCATGACTGTGAAATCACCTGCTGTGTAGCTGTGCACATCACAGGCCCTGTGTAGCTCTTAAAAGGTAACTGAAGTGTGCTTAAAAGATAACTGAACTGTGTGGAGCCTTGTTTTCCTGACCTTTCTCAAGGGGCTACTGTTTGCACCTGTGTACTCATCACAGTAATTTTTAAGCCAGGAGAAAAGTGTTTTGTTTTGTTTTTTTCCTCTCCTAATAATATGGACTTGCTAACCCAATTCTTTGCTATTGTTCTGTGTACTGTTTTCAGGAATAAGTAAATAAAATGGAAGAAAACCATTTGGAATAGTAACACTTTGAGCTACCTTTTCTAGCCTTTTAACTTCATACAAACCATTTAGTTTGGGATCTCAGGTGATTATAATTATGAATGCTAAGTTTTGTTTTCTTGAAGTTTTTATATTGTAAGCTTAAAACTGAATTAATAGTATACCCGGTTTCTCCCTCTTCAAGCTGTGTCTACTTGATCTTTTTTGTTTGTTCAAATGACACAGTGCAATAAGTATGGAATTAGATTAATGAAGTAAATATTATGAATCATACATTCTCTAATCTGGTACTCATTCTTATTTCTGACCCCATGTTTTGTTTTCTGTCTTTCTTTCTCTCTTCGTATAGGTTGTCAGTCCAGTGTAAAGCTGTTGGAGTGAGGGAGCAAAGGTAAAGGATGATGTAATGCCCTGGCTGCCCCAAAGCATCTTTTGTTGTGGATGGTTATTCCCGTCATCTCCCCATGGATCAGATGTGAGGGGCTGCTTTGTGGAAGGAGTCCTTTGCAAGGCACGTCAGCAGGAAAGAGAAAGAGACATTCAGTTGGAGGGCTCTTGCTGAAATGGGTTTAACTCTCCTTTTGCCAGTCACCACTAGCCTGACCTCATACATTTATAGTACAATGGAGTGGCTGAGCCTTTGAACACACCACCATTACATCATCGGGAAAATTAAAGAACGAGGTGGGAAAAGAGGACTTATTGTTGTCATGGCCCATGAGATGATTGGAACTCAAATTGTTACTGAGAGGTTGGTGGCTCTGCTGGAAAGTGGAACGGAAAAAGTGCTGCTAATTGATAGTCGGCCATTTGTGGAATACAATACATCCCACATTTTGGAAGCCATTAATATTAACTGCTCCAAGCTGATGAAGCGAAGGTTGCAACAGGACAAAGTATTAATTACAGAACTTATCCAGCATTCTGCAAAGCATAAGGTAAATTCTTTATGACTTTTTAAAGTAAGTGGACATAGCAACCGAAGAAATATTTTGATTGAAGATTATTTTTTAAGTACAGAAAGTAATTTGAGGAAATTTTGGTTGTCTTTTGGAATTTGGCAATCTTGCAATACCTAAAAATAGATTAACAATCACATTGTCATATTAAGAATATTTTAAACTAAGTCAGGCAATTGTAGCTTATGCCTACCTATAATCCTAACATGGGAGGGTGAGGGAGAAGATTGCCACAAGTTCAAGGCAAGCCTGGGCTACATAGCAAGATCCTGTCTCAAGAATGTCAGGGGAAGGAAAGTATTATTTTAAGCTATACATAATAGTTAACTTATTGTAATTTGGACACAATACTATGTTTATGTATTAGTGTCTTGATGAGATTGTCTTATCAATTTAAACAACATTTTGTCTTTTCTCCAAATCCACTGAAAGTCGTTCTTTTCAAGTGCTTTGAAAGTAAGAATTAATTATTAGAAGTAAAAGTAATATTTATATGTGGTAATATTGGTTAAGACATTTTCTTCAGGAAATAATTATTCTCGGCCATATGTGTATATGTTGGGAAAGGCTGTTCCCCCCCCCCTTTTGTTTTTCTGAGACAAGTCTTATATGTTCTAAAAGTTGCTATATAGCTGAGATGGCTCTGAACTCCTGGTAAGTGCATCTTTTAATAAACAGCATCTTTAAATAATGGTTTTTTTTTTTTTCTTGTTTCCTAGGAACCGTGGGTGTGTGTGTGTGTGTGTGTGTGTGTGTGTACACATTCCTGTGTGCGCATGCATGGAGGCCAGAAGAAAACCTTGGGTATTATCCTCAGAAATGTAATCTACCTCCTCTGAGATGAGGTCTTTCTCATATGCACACAAACAGAGAGCTCAAATTTTTATATGGGTGCTGAGGGTGGAACTCAGGTCGTCAGTCTCCTGTAGAACTATTTTAACAAATGTTTCTTTAGGTGAAGGATTGTTGTTTTTATTTTGCAAATTATATTGTGTGTCAACTTTACCCTTTTATCAAGTTTTCAGCACATCATAAAAGAAAGTATCATCAATTTTGCCTTTGAAAAATGTTTTTTTTACAAGCACTTAGCCGCTTCTATGCTAATTTTATCCAGTAAATGGATTGAATCTAGTTTTTACTCATTATTAATTGAAAATAAGAAGCAGTTCATTGTTTTAAAACCAGTAAAATTGTGAGCGCCTACAAAGCCAATGTCTTGTTAGATTATTTTTCTCAAACCATTCTCCACTTCCAATCCCTTTTTGAGACAGGGTCACAGTAGCCCAAACTGGCTTTAAATTTGTTAGGTGAGTGTGACCTTCACTCCTGATTCCCCCCTTCCACCGCCCAGCTGCTGGGATTGGAGGTGTGCACTGCCATGCCCAGCTCCTACCGTCCCTCTTAACAAGCTTCACATTTGTATTTTAGGTTGACATTGATTGCAACCAGAAGGTGGTAGTTTATGATCAGAGTTCCCAGGATGTTGCTTCTCTGTCGTCAGACTGCTTTCTCACTGTACTTCTGGGTAAACTGGAGAAGAGCTTCAACTCTGTTCACCTGCTTGCAGGTGAGTCTGGGATATAGTGGAAAGGACTTGGTCTGTTGTTTTGTTTTATGAAAGCAGTATCACAACTGGTGTGTCAGGTGAATTACAACTTTTGATTAATCGTTCCATTGATCTTGAATAGTGTATTCCTCCACATTAAATTAGTCAGTGGTGTCTTGCTTTGTTTTTTGTTTGTTTGATTTTGAGGCAGGGTCTCACAGCTGCCCTCAGGTTTGAAGCAGTCCTCTGCCTCAGCTTCCCACTGGAATTACAGGTGTGAGCCATCACACCTGGCTCGGTCAGGGTACTATGACCTGGCTAAATTCCTCTTGTTTTTTTCTTAGCTGGAAATAGCACATATAGGTAGGTCACAGCCACTTGCTTTGTCTGGTGATTTTCTGTGTACCTGCTGTGTGAACACTGATTGAGCGACAGACATCTCAGCTCTCAGGAATTCTTACCTTGTGGTCAGAGCCAGACCAGCATTACAGGGTCAAACTCTTAATGTAAACACTTGAAAGAGACTCCAGAGGTAAGGTCACCTTGGGCATATGAATAATAAAATAAGGAACAAATTGTGTAGACTGTTTCTTCTCTCTCTTTTTTTTTTGTGTGTGTGATTTTTGTTTGTTTTTTATGCTTGGAAAAAAGTTTCAATATATAAATGCTAAACAACTGGGTGATTTTGTAAAGCTCATGGGAAGGACTGCTCTTCTGAGGAGGAGCGGTGCAGCAGGTGCATCTCATGGCATCAAAATAAACTATTACCCTTAGCTTACCTGTTGCAGCCTGGCTCTCCCTGGGGTGGGCTGACAGAATGAGAAATATGGTTGACCAATGCATAGGACCTTAACATAAAGCTGCTTCCAGACACATTCCAGCCGTAATACCCAAGAGTGTTTTGTTTTTAAAATGTGGCCTAAGAAAAGATATTGATAGGTATTGTCTTTTTCTACTTTTGGTGTTTACTGGAAGGAGGATGCAGTGAGCTTGATTACTGGTAATTAGTTATTAGAAATATAAACACATCAGTTTTAAGATTGCCCAGTTGTTGGTGTGTGAATAGTTTTTAAATATTAACGTTGTGAAACTCCATGCAGATTTAGGTAGAATCTCCAGTTCTGTCATACATTTTTGCTTCAATTCTCTAGTTGCAAGGATAATTTTTGCTTGTTTTTGTTTTGTGTTTCTCTAACCACATCTTTTATGTGTGCTGTGATTCCCTTTGGTCTCTCTGTATGGTAGTTACAGAATTCTGTGACAATTTATTACATTTTTCCTGTCTGTTGACAGATGTATGTAATGATAAGCAGATGTTCTAGCACTGAGCTAATCAACCCCTGCCCTCTCACCCATCCTGATAGGCACATTAGATATAAGGACTATTTGGGTTGAACTAAGGGTAACTTTGGTACTCTTTTCAAGTTTTTTTAGCCATTGTGAGTTCAAGGTTTGTGGCCTCATTTCACTAACTCATAAAACACAGGTGATCACTCATGTTGGACAAGCACAGTATTTACTAAATAATCCCCCAGACCCAGTCCTTAAAGAGTTTGTCTGTCAGGATGTCCCACCCTGCCTTTTTGAAACATTTTCCCTGTGGGGAGCTCTGACCTGACAGCTTGGTCCACAGACAGCCATTCTGTAGGTGTGTTCACAGTGAGTTTCTAGGTAGAGTCTTACAGCTCTTTATTCCCTTTGCTGAAGGGCATTCCTTGGTTTTGTGAAAAGGTTACCAATCCTGTTCCTTTGGGAGAGGCACTCACTGGGCTACAAGGAAGAATAAGGGTTCAGTCTGACCAGCTGGACCAACCTTATGACACACTGAATCGGAGCACCTCATGCCCATTTCATACAAGAAACGTTGGGAGTGCTAAGTTAATGGGAGGAGTATCAGGTAGGGTGGGTGTCCGACTCACTGAAGGGAGAGCAGGAGGGATGCAGCTAGCTGCTCTGCACTGTGCTGGACCCAGCGCTGACTCCTGCTGTTTGCTCTACAGAAGTAAAACTCAAGCTTGTGAGGAAGGGAGAGATGGACTGTAAGAGAGTACAAAGCAGCCACTGTCAGAGTTTGACAATACCTTCAATATAAACCTTAGATATTGACAGAAGGAAGGGCTACAAGGAAGAAAAGCAGGGCTGGAGGAGTAACAGAAAAGAGTGGGTGCTTTGGAGGAGTCAGGGTCGTCTTATAGGCTTGGTGCCAAGACTAGCACTGGTTCCTAGGTGTCTGACATCTTTATGGACACATTCCACGAAGCTGAGAAAAACGGGTTATGTTTTTACTCTGCTTTTTATAGCTGAATATCTTTAAAAAAGTTATTTAATTGGAGTTAAATGTTTTGTTTTTTTTTCTTTCTCACTTATTAAAATATAGATGTTCCACTTACTCTGAGAATATTTTTTTTGTGTGTGAGAATCAGAGCATATATGTGGAATCTGTTTCTGTAATCATTTTTGAAGACTATCATTATGAACAAAAGACAAAAATAGTTGCTAATATTGACTTACGGATAAGCTATTTTTGGTTTTGTTAACCTCAAGAAAATTTTAACAACAAACTAGTTTCTTGGCTTTTACTTACTTACCCACTATTTATCACTTTATCATCTTGGTCTTTTTGTCCTTGTCCTTATCTAAGGGTGCTTGATTTATTTCACAGAACTGAAATAAATATAGGAGAAAAAGCCCCTTTGACTCAGGTGTTCATTTTATACTAACATATAGAAAAGATGCAGAAATGGATCAGTTTGATAGGAAGTAGGTTAGAAGATGATCTACAAGGGAACAGTACTTTTCAGTTACTTTCTCTTTCTCCATTTTTTTGTTAGAATCTTGAGACACACCCACACCTCATGATCCTCCTGCCTCAACTTCTGCCTCTTTATCATATCCTACTAACATGTGCTACCACAACCTATGCTCAGCCTTCTTTCTTGGCTTCCTGAGTGTTGGAATTTTGTGTGGGTGTAGCCATGCCTGGCTCTTTCCCCACTGAGTAAATGCAGAAGGGCAGCTTTGGGTGTGGTGCGGTGGTAGAGAACATGTTTAACATGTAAGATCCTGGGTTCAGTCTCACTATTCCTTTGCTTTCAGAAGACAGGTGGAAGAAGGAAGGACAGGCCCATAGGTTCATAGTCTTTCCTTTCCTTTTCTATTCTGTGATTGTAGAAGTCAAATGCAGGGCAAATGCTCGGCTGTATCCCTAGCTCATTTCTGTCCTGTGATGAGTGACAGGATAACTGTACAGCAGATAAAACTCACAGATTAATCACAGACTTCAGCTCTTTCACATACAGATAGTGGTCCAATGACTCAACTCTTCCAAGTTCTCACCATGTGACTAAGGCTCATACCTACAAGTATTTCCAGAATCTTCTAAAATTTTCTTAGCCTAGATTAGGAATCAAGAGTAAGAGTGATTTCTTCCTTCCTTCCTTCCTTTCTTTCTTCCTTCCTTCCTTCCTTTCGTTCTTTTTTTTTTCTTTTTGCCAAGCTTTTCTATGTAGTTCCAGCTGTCCTGGAATACTTACAGACCAGGTTGGCCTCATAGAGATGGTCCTGCCTTTGCCTCCCAAATGTTGGGGTAAAGGGCATGGAGCACCATGCCCAGCCTAGGATGCTTTTTCTTTCTTTTTTTTTAATATTTATTTTATTTCACATGCAGTGGTGTTTTGTCTGCTTGTATGTTTGTATGAGGCTGTGTCAGATCCCCTAGAACTGGAGTTACAGACAGCTGTTATCTGCCATGTGGTTCTGGGGACTGAATGCAGGACCTCTGGGAGAACAGCACGAGCCTTTAACCATTGAGCCATCTCCCCAGCCCAGGGTGCTTGTCTGTCCCTGGAGACCTTTTCTAGTAGCTCTTTCAGCCTCTTGAGGATTTTAGAGTCATAATCTTCACATTTTACTGAATAAAACAATGCATAAAAGTACTGTACATAAAAAACTTCAAACCATTAAATTATCTTAGCCAGTAAGGGGCTCATCAAATGAAAGTGTAACTGCTTCATCCTATGCTAAATCGTGGATTTGAGTAATTATAGAAAATACCATTACTAAGTATTTTGTGGAATATAGAGCTGTGATTAAAGGACAAATACCTTTTCTTTTTTAGGAAGTTTTGTCTAGTGTAGATTGAAGTGAACAATTGTATATTGAGCCTTTATGTATTTTAAACAGAGGTCTAGAGTGATTTAATAGCTTCATTAATGTTAAGTTTCTGTTTTAACAGAATTAATTATTGCACTTCACAAGGAAAGCATAATAGAACTCAGTTTTTCTGGTTATGGACTTGCTGTTTGTGTTACTATTATTAATTGTATTATCTAGTTTCTGGTTATGGACTTGCTGTTTGTGTTATTATTATTAGTTGTATTATCTAGTTTGACGCCTCTTCCCCTTTGAAAATGAAATAGCATTTTCAGTCATTCCATACCAAAACTTGTAGCATCTGGTAAAAGATTAAAATAAATATATCCTAGTAAAAGCACTCCAGATAGTCAGAATTGGTTGCTATTTGTCAAAAACAAACAAAAAACTGTAGTCATTGAGAGTCACTGAAAATAAGTGTTTGAATTTACATATATAATAGAATTATTTAGCTTTACAAAGCAAAGGGCTAGAGGTTCCAGTTAGTGGTAGAATATTTCCCTAACATAGATGATGCTCTGGGATCAAGCTCCATACTGGGAAAAAAAAAAAAAAAGCATGCTGCTTTCTATAACATAAACCAGGAAAGAATTAGGCTGAGTGAGATCAGCCAGGTATAGAAGGATAAATGCTACATCAGTCTCATTTATATAGAGTCCAGAAGTCACTGAAACAGAGAATTGAAGCCCCATGTGGTCATCACACCACTTGGGAAGTGGAAGCAGAAAGCAGCAGAGTTTAGGGTGATCCATCCTGGGCTATATCAGACCTTGTTTCTTAAAATCAAAAATAATCAAATCATAAATGAAACAGTTGAATGGGTGGATGGTAGGGGAGGGATAGGGCTGATAGTGATTAAAGGATACAGA